AGCACTTATTATCCATCCGTGGGCATGATATAAAATTCAGTGGGCAATGTAAAGGGATTCGTTAATATAACAAAGAAAAATTTTCAAAAATTCCAATAACTTTTGTATTGTTAACTCTACAGTTAACAAACAGGGTTAATACAAATATGCAACAATTTTGTACAGTTTGAGTTATTAATTGTTGCTTGGTAAGATATCTAGGCAACGAAATTTATTGCCATTACTTTGTTACTGAAATACATATAAAATGTTCAAAGTTATTTAAAGAATTTTAAAAGTTATGCATAGTAAAATAAAATGCCAATACACGCTACATTCCACATTCCACAAAATACATTTAGCAATTTTAATTCATTATTCATGTTGTACAAAATTACCATGAAAAGAAAAAATATTATTAATTTATATTACCAATTTAGATAGATAAAAATGTTTCTATTATTTTAATTGTATATTATCACACAAAATAAATTATTTCAGCAAAACAGCAAAATGTCATTAATAAATAATATAATTTTTCGGACCCCAAAGTAAGCAGGATGAGCAGCCTATTACTATTAACTAACCAAAGCATGCATAACCGAATTACCAGAAGGCATTTAACATTTATAAATCATATCCTCGAGCTTATTTCAGACAGTCTCAATTTGAATTTTGCATAAATAATGAGTTTCAAGTATTTGGCAGAGAGAATTTGTACAGAGTCTAGTGTACATGGCTTACCGTACTTGGTCAAGAGGGAATTACATTGGACGGAACGTTTATTTTGGATTGCAGTTCTTATTTCAGCGACCTATTTCTCAATCAACATGTGCCTAAATCAATGGGAACGTTTTCGTGAAAATCCGATTGTTTATGCTATGGAATTAACTTGGGGCAAATCAGATTTTCCTTACGCTGGCATCACAATATGCTCTAATTATTACGATGAAGAAGCTTTCACGCGGCTAATTCAAGAGTTAATTAAATAATTTATTTTTATTTGCTTATTTATTTAATTTAAGCTTGTAATTTAAATTATAACAGATTGAATCAAATCCAAAATTCTGCTAATGATTGATTTATAAAATTAATTATTATTATTTATTATTTATAGAAAATAAAATGTTTTTTTTTTCTTTCAGAAATTGGCAAGTTAAGCCAAATGATACTAAATACCAATACTATTGGCAGTTTTTGTCGGTTTTAAATAGTTTACATGTAGATAATTTAAAGTCTTTAACGCCTTTTGCTAAAGACAAAAACTTAAAGAAATTAAAATTATTAGATGTATTATTACAGGTAATTAATGTATCAAAGTTTTTATATACTTTCCTACTTTTTTAATGAAATATTTTAAATAAAAGTTGCATGCTAAACGATTCCCTACGCAATTGAATGATTCCGTTACCTTATCAAGTGGTTTGTTAATCGATCTTGACAATCGTTTCAATCTTTATGCTCCTGCTATCACAGAAGGAGGATTATGTAAAACAACATCTCAACTTTCCAAATACACAAATCCCTATGGAAAACTGTAAGTACTTCAAGAAATTGCTCAGAAAATGTATAATGCAACTTATACGACAATTATAGTGTTTCTTTATCAGTGTCAAAAGTTATTTATTGTGGATTTCTTAATGAGTGCAATACAAAAATATTGCCATTAGTTGACAGCAAAACAGACATTCGAATAGTAAGTTTATCAAATTATAATATTTTGATTTATACAATTATTTATAAAATAATTTGGTAGTAAAAAATGCACAATTCTTTTTTTTAAATCCAGTATATACATAACGTATTTGATGTAGTTATGCCGGGCGATCGCAATACCATACTTCATGAAATAAAAGCTGATGGCTCTTTAACAATGGAATTACTTTTAAGTGCCACAACAGCAGAATCTGGGGTTAGAAATCTTCCCATTCAATATAGGAAATGCCGTTATCCCGATGAAAATGTTTTAAAATACTTTGAGGTATATATTAAACCAAAAACAATTTTTTTTAAAGTAAAAAAAATATTTTTATCAAAAAATTAGCCCTTATTAGCGATTAGAAATTATAAAAAAGTAAAGAAATTATCGAAAAAATTGTTTTAAATAATACCAACAAATTGGTTCACAAAACAAATAATATTATTTTACCATTCTTTCAATTATTAGAACTAATTTTAGCGAAATTAAAATCAAAGATCCTATATTGATCTTGACAATCGAATTATTTATTATACACAAATATAGTAAAATTAAAAACTTAATATAACATAACTCTTAAAAACTTTTTAAGAGTTTAATCTTAATACAATAGTTTCATATCACTACACACTTTTATAGATAAATTGCAGAATTATGCTTAAAAACCTAATTTTACTGCTTATTATTATTTATATAAAGAAACAAAAACATAATAACCATTATTTATTAAAATTACACTACAGCTGTTATTGATATTTCTTCCAGATCTACAGACCAGGAGTTTGTCGTAGTGAATGTCGTATTGATGCCGCTCTTAGACTTTGTAAATGTAAGCCATATTTTTATGCTGTGGCACCGGAGGCACCGATTTGTGATGTGGATGGCATGTTGTGTTTAGATAGGAAAAATTGGACACAGACACCTTGTAATTGTGTTCCACTTTGCGAAGAGATAAACTACATTAACCTGCGCAGCACAATTCAAAAAGCTGTAATTATCTTTATCTTTAAATCAATTGTCTTACAAATACAATTTACAAAAAATATTGCAGAAAACTTCTAAGTTCGAAAGTACAATCATCGTAATGCTAAATTTGCCCTCAATGGCTATTAAACGAAGAGTGGTTTTTAGTACAGATCAACTTGTTGTGTCTTTCGGTGGTGCTATAAATTTATTTTTGGGTGCAAGTTTTATAAGCGTTTTTAATGTTGTCTACATTTTTGGTAGGTTTGCGATATCAAAAATTCAAAATGCGTGCAAAAAAAATAATCCTCGGGTACGAATTATTACAGTAAAGAGCATTAACGTACATAAATAATTTTATTAACAAGAATATATTTAAGAATATATTTGCAAATTAACAACACTTTATTTTAAAAATATATTATCTTTTGTTGCACTTTCAGCACAATAATAATGATGGCCTTATAAATGAACCTTATACCTTTTATAATGGTTTAATATTTACTCAACTGTCAGCATTATTAACAAAAAAAGTTATAAGGCTCAATAAATATCATAAAACAAACGCAATCAATAAAAGGCTAAATTATAAAAATTATATTGAATAGTCAGCCGATAGTTCCTAAAAGTAAATTTAAAAACTTTCATTCCCGTATTTCAAAGATTTATTTTGAAATAGACAGATATAAGGTAAGGTAGGAAAAATTCGATGAAATTGTTCGTTTTTTCCAGAATATGGAGATTGGAATTGATTGTGTCCAAATATTGCGATATCCACAATGTTTCTATTATTAAGTGCATATGTTTCTATCAGAAGAGCATATGATACATATACTTTATAGTCCTATAACTGCATTACAAACATCTCGAAAAATTTAACATATCTTCAGTAAATGAGTGAAGCGTATATTAAATATCGGAGTATAAGCAATACAATTAAAAAAATTAGTTATGGCTTTCAAAAACTTCAATATCTTTCATACATATAATTATATTGTAAACCAATTTACTCAAACAGATATACTACATTTATTATATTAAATGATATACTTCATTTTACTTTTAAATGGAGTTTTACTAAACTTTTAATTTATACATAATCACTACAGTAATTAAAAACAATTAAATGTTAACGTTTAAAGTAATAGGAATCTACATGAAAGTAAAACAGCAATTACACTACTCACTCGGACATACCTAGCTCCGATTTTATAAACTAAATCACATTTCATATAAAAGTAAATATAAACAAAATATAAAAGTTATATGTAGCATTAGGATACAATAATTTAATTAAACATTTTATATTTTTGAGTCGCAAACTTAAGTAAAAAATGAAGGAAAGAAATGATATTTTACCTTTCAAATAAAATATTATTTCATTAAATTTAAGAAAGATTATATAAAAACATGACAAGCGCAGTATTCACAACTAAAGCTATTATTATTACCAACGTTTAGCAACATTTTGGCTTTGAGGTTAGCTTTGACGAATAAATACGGATAAAGATACAAAACATTACACTTGTAAGGTACTTGGTGAGGAGTATTTTGTATGATGGTATCATAATCGTATTAAACCGTATATAATTACTGACAAAATTTGAAAGTACATTAATCAAATAATATAACTACAAGTAAGGTAAAAATAAAATGTATATATCAAATGAAGAAATAACCATTCGCACCGCCAAAAGGAAACCTACAAAGTGTTTGCCAACGAGTAGCGACAAAAAGTTTCACTTTTGCGGAAAATTATGATTTTTGCTGTAAAAGTGGTTAATCGTTTGCCTCATGCCAAGCTATTGTCATTATAGTTTTTTCTATTATTTTGTATTATTTTGTTATATTATATCTCCTAGTTAAAGTTTAAATGAAGCTTTAGCAAGCAGAGCGTAAAGAAATGAAGTTAACAACCTTTTTGCATTAATTCATTTTACTTTTTGTATCTTAAAATAAATCTTTGATTTTGGTTAACAAAAGTACGAGATTCTAATCTTATATTAATGTTCACACATAATATATAAAAAACATATACAGTGGACGCTCGCAAATTAGAACCACTTTGTTTTTAAGGTAATTCTAATTTCTGAACAATTTTTTTATTCGAATATAAATAAAAAATGTAGAAAACTTATTTAAAAAAAATCAATAGATTTCTTTTTTCACTTTATTTTATTTATTGAAAATAAGAAAACGAAACTAAACAATCCCGGGGGAATACATATAACTTCTATTTTTTAACTATATGCAACAAAACATAAAGATTTACTTCGATTACATCACATGTACATATTACATTTTTTTATATAAAAATGGATAATTGAGATAATGTTCAAAACCTAAGAAATTAATTCAAAGTTAATAATTAATCGGCAAGTTTAAAACTAATTTTTCTGTGACATATGTTATATTCTCAGATACATTTGTCTGAAGTAACTATATCATTGTGGGGAGCTAGTAAATTGCTTATGTGCTTTGTGGAAAATAATTCACTATTGTTGCAAAATTTCGTTAAATTATAAACGTTCTCAATGGTTGCCGAGTTTGAAACAACTGTTAAGACTTCAACAATATCGCATTCGCTTCTATCTGAAGACTCAACAAATAACATCATGAATCGTTAAACGCTTGAACAACGCCTTCAAATTTTGTGGAAATTTACTTTCAACAAGCAAAATTTCCGTACCCGAATTAAATCAATCGAACCTTTGATAGCCAGCAAATTTTTAAGTTTCGATATATACAACTTTAAAGCAAAGTATGACTCGCCTATAAAATCTTCATCCATTCCCTTAGAGGAGCATTTTTAACCAATTCAAAACCCTAGTATTTTTTATTGATGCAATATTCCCGATACTGAGAAGCCTAGTAGGCTTGGATTTAGTAACCAGATCAAAAAAAAATTTGTAACATTGTCTTTCAGCCATTAAACGAAACATGGACGAAATCAATATTGTCGTAAGTTTGAAATTGGTTACAGTTCAATAGGGCCACTTTATAGGATAATATTTAAAATTTTAAATAAAACTTTTTAAATAAAAAAAAATAAAAAAGATTTTTACACTTAAATTTATTTTGAACATTCATTTAAAGAATTTTTTCTTGTTATACACTCACAGATTCTTCAAAGTTCACTTATATATAAAAAATAAATTTATGATGAACTTTTTTATATATTTAAACTCATTGTTTTAAGGCAACCTTAGGCAAGCCTACAAAACTTGTTAACCTTTGAATACATTTTTTTAATTGTAAAACCACTTCAAAAAGTCTCTTAGGCGCAGACGCTCCAATATTTTGCTAACTTGCTAACTTGTAAACTTACTTCGTATTCGCAGTACACACAACACAATAAGGAGAAAATTTCTGCTCTAATTCCTACTCAGTCTCTATCTACCACAGCAGCGAACCAAACTAATTTCAAAGTATTTCTTTAGTAAATTTATATATGCATATGCATTTTAGTATCTTTTACTTTAGATACATAACTAAACTGTATTGAAAAAAAAACTGTATCTTCAAGAACTTTTTAACTGGTTTTCTCGTAAATTAGCACAAAAGTTAACAGCCACGCTTTTAAAACTAGAAACTTAGAAACTGCTTAAGGCTTTATTATGGCCACATCAAACATTTTACTTTAAGTTGCAAAATGCCAAAATAGTTTTTCACCACAAACCCATGGAAAAGTTATAAATGTATATAATAAACTCTCATCTAATAAAACCAAAAATAAGATATGAACCTTTATAAATCTACTCGCAGCTTGCAGTGGGTTTCTTAAAATAGTTCTATTATAGCATGTGGTATGTTTGATAATTAATGTCTTTAAAATTTCTCTTTTAAAATTTTTTTTTTTTTTTTTTGTTTTTTTTTGTGAAATATATTTTCAGTTCTATTACTTAAATTTTCTTTTAATTTAGCACCTGCCTTACACATTTTTTCATGCAGTACACTGCAGTGGAGTAGGTTTGATGAATGCTAGAGCTAGCTGAATGCAGTCCACAGTTTCAATGTTGTTGTTGTGGAAAAGTGAGTGAATGATATATGCGTGACATTTAGGTTTAATAAGGATGTAACACATCATTTAAAACATATGTAAAATGTGATTAGTTGTTATAATAAATTATAAATATACAAGCGTAGATAAGCGCTTTGAAATTTAAAACGACATTGAATTTGTTTTGGCTTTCTGTCTTTAAATCATGTCTTCATTAATTTATATGTAATTTATTTTTAACTTTAATATAGTTAAATCTGTTATATTATGTGAATATATTTTAATATGGATAAATTTCACTTAAATGAAAATCAAGGCTATCAAATTTTAAGCAAAAAGACACGATATGTTCAGTAACATAATAAATACATATGCAGAAAATAATGCATACATCATTTTTAATGAAGACCCGTTTGTAAATTTATTTAAAATGACATTTTTTTAATTATTGTTTTTTTCTTAATTATATGTTTTTTTTAATTGAGCACGTTTTTAAATTTTAAAATTTATCAAGATATTAATATAAAAAAAATGTTTAAAAAATATAAAAACACAAGATTTTTATTGTAAGTAAAAAAAAACGAAGCTTTAAATATACTGATAGTAATATTCAATATACATTAATTTAATGAATAAATTTCTTTGTAATACAACAAGTATAAAAACTAATAAAGCTATTAATACTACTACAAATAATGATATAAATTTTATTTATTAATAATATTGTTAAGAGCGAAGCCCTAGCAGTCAGTTTCTAATTTTTTTTCATTTTCTGCACACAAATTCATATTGTAAAAAATAATTTACTGTAAATAAAAAAAATAATTAATTAATTAATATATATAATTTAAATAAATTTTAATAATTATTCAAATCATTTTTATCATTCATAATTAAAATTATTTTTAATAATTATTTAAATCAGGGCTACCTAAAGCACGGCCCGCGGCTAATGTTTGTGTTGCCTGTGACATGTTTTAAATCTACTACAATTCCGTAAATTTTATTTTGATGCACTGGTAAAACTATATTATTTTATTTTTATAGCAAATAAATGAATTTAAATTAATAAATTTATAAAACTAAATTTAATATTATAACCATATATTTATTTTTGTCTAAAACAGTTATGAACGTATATATTTATTTCTGCGGCCCTCCAATCTGTGCAGTGGTTTCGATCGCAATTGGTTTGGACAGTCCTGATTTAAATCTTTTTAAATAAATATTACAATAGCATTATTATAAGAACAATAAAATCATTGATATAATAAATGACTAC